TTATCAAGGTAATAAGGAGGTAAAAAGGTTGGTGAATTGAGCCTTATGTGTGACTGGCTGGTTAGTGAGCAGGGAAACTTTTTTTTGCTGTTGTACTGTATAAAGCCCTTCCATGTGCACCTTGCTTGAAAGCTGGTTATGAGTTGATGAGTGCGTTTGCCATTTGTTTTGCTTGACTGATTTGGTGCAGTGACACACTGGGGGTCTCAGCTGCCGTTGGGATGTGTGGGGTCCCTTATGTGTCCCTGTGCCTTTAAGGAGGTTGGGCTGCCTCCTGGCGAACCTGCACCCAATTTTATCTTTTGCTACATGTGCTCCAAGATGGAGACTCTCATAGGTTAGAGTTAGGACCGCACTACACAAAGGAGCCTTGACGAGGCAGTGCGGCATTCACATATTCTGCAGAAGACGTGTATCTAAAACCTCTGTTTTTAACCTTAGCGGTTAAACAGGTTTTTCTTGCATGCTGGCTGGTGAGTGTGCTGGGAAATGTTTTGCTGTTGTACTGTATTATGACCTCACCCGTTTTTCTCAACTAGGGCTTGATTGAATTCTACGGCTCCTTATGAGTATGCTTATGGTTCCTTGAGCAATTGCAAAAATAATTTCCTAGCTACACTGACCACTACTAAAAGGGTGCACTTCTACACTGACCACTAATACAAGGGTGCACTTCTACACTGACCACTAATACAAGGGGGCACTTCTACACTGACCACTAATACAAGGGGGCACTTCTACACTGACCACTAATACAAGGGGGCACTTCTACACTGACCACTAATACAAGGGGGCACTTCTACACTGACCACTAATACAAGGGGGCACTTCTACACTGACCACTAATACAAGGGGGCACTTCTACACTGACCACTAATACAAGGGGGCACTTCTACACTGACCACTAATACAAGGGGGCACTTCTACACTGACCACTAATACAAGGGGGCACTTCTACACTGACCACTAATACAAGGGGGCACTTCTACACTGACCACTAATACAAGGGGGCACTTCTACACTGACCACTAATACAAGGGGGCACTTCTACACTGACCACTAATACAAGGGGGCACTTCTACACTGACCACTAATACAAGGGGGCACTTCTACACTGACCACTAATACAAGGGGGCACTTCTACACTGACCACTAATACAAGGGGGCACTTCTACACTGACCACTAATACAAGGGGGCACTTCTACACTGACCACTAATACAAGGGGGCACTTCTACACTGACCACTAATACAAGGGGGCACTTCTACACTGACCACTAATACAAGGGGGCACTTCTACACTGACCACTAATACAAGGGGGCACTTCTACACTGACCACTAATACAAGGGGGCACTTCTACACTGACCACTAATACAAGGGGGCACTTCTACACTGACCACTAATACAAGGGGGCACTTCTACACTGACCACTAATACAAGGGGGCACTTCTACACTGACCACTAATACAAGGGGGCACTTCTACACTGACCACTAATACAAGGGGGCACTTCTACACTGACCACTAATACAAGGGGGCACTTCTACACTGACCACTAATACAAGGGGGCACTTCTACACTGACCACTAATACAAGGGGGCACTTCTACACTGACCACTAATACAAGGGGGCACTTCTACACTGACCACTAATACAAGGGGGCACTTCTACACTGACCACTAATACAAGGGGGCACTTCTACACTGACCACTAATACAAGGGGGCACTTCTACACTGACCACTAATACAAGGGGGCACTTCTACACTGACCACTAATACAAGGGGGCACTTCTACACTGACCACTAATACAAGGGGGCACTTCTACACTGACCACTAATACAAGGGGGCACTTCTACACTGACCACTAATACAAGGGGGCACTTCTACACTGACCACTAATACAAGGGGGCACTTCTACACTGACCACTAATACAAGGGGGCACTTCTACACTGACCACTAATACAAGGGGGCACTTCTACACTGACCACTAATACAAGGGGGCACTTCTACACTGACCACTAATACAAGGGGGCACTTCTACACTGACCACTAATACAAGGGGGCACTTCTACACTGACCACTAATACAAGGGGGCACTTCTACACTGACCACTAATACAAGGGGGCACTTCTACACTGACCACTAATACAAGGGTGCACTTCTACACTGATCTCTAATACAAGAGTGCACATCTACACTGATCACTAATACAAGGGTGCACTTCTACACTGACCACTAATAAAAGGGTGCACTTGTACACTGATCAATAATACAAGGGTGCACTTCTACATTGACCACTAATACAAGGGTGCACTTGTACACTGTTTTTGGGAGCCGATTCACACTAGTACACTGCATTAATCGAACAGTCCCATGTGATGAATGCACTGTACCACGCAATCGCACCTACCATGCATTCTGGTGTGGAAAGTGTGTTGCGTTGCAATTAATTTGAATGACACCCCAAACGCACCTTCCACTCACAGTCCAATCGCCTGCACCCGAACGCCTGGTACTGAAATGCTGTGCATTCCATTGTAGTGCGATCTGGGTCACGACCTAATGACCAAGGACAAATGTGGGTCCTGAGGTTACAGGGGTTGAGAACCACTGATTTAACCTATTCGTGTTAGCGGGGCAGAATTGTGAGCGCCTCCCACAAGCTGAGCACCGAGATGCGATGCAGCGATCCTGCCCAGCGCCGACTACAAGAGGCACCGCGTGAGGCAACAGGGATCGGAGTGAAACTGTGAGTGAGTGAAGCTGGGACGGGGGCTGGCTGTAAATCTATTGCTGGAGTGTACTGGACGTGTGTAATGTATATGTAGTACATATATACAGCACGCACCTCCACTACACTCCAGCAATAGAGTTACAATTCTCCCCTGCTAACATGAATAGGTTAAATCATGATCCATAGTACATAACATGTAGTTGTACTATGGATCATTTAATGTCACCTGTCCCTTTAAGAAAAAGTTTCGGTAATTGGTATCGGCAAGTACATGAGGAGATGTACTTGGTCCTGAAAAAGTGGTATCAGGACATCTCTAGTGATAAGTGATGTGGTTGCAGGAGCCTTCACTCTGAGTTGTGTAAAGGCAGTAGCTTCTCCACACAGGCGCTCGTGTGTTAATGTTTGCCTTGACTGTGAATTTCATGGGTCTGCTTTTCTGCACATGAGCAATTGGCAGTGAAATTTCTGGACCTGATCAGCGGCTTTGAGTTTGCACATTCAGCCGATGCATCCTCCATGCCCCCCACCGGTTGAGGTGACACGTGGGTCCAGATTTCTAACGGGTCCAGGATTCTACCAGAACACCAGCCCTCCAACTGTTGTGGAACTAGTGTAACTACAATTCCCATAAGGCATTGCAAGTTCCAGGCATGACTCCCAGAAGCATGTTGGGATTTGTAGTTAAAGCACAGCTGGAGGACTGGAGCTGACCACTCCTGCTCCCCAGTAAAAAGGTTGCGATGTGCTAGGATTCCAAAAAAACATTGACATCTGCAGGAACACCAAAGCTGTCAAAGGGACAACCCTACTCCATAAGTCCCCGTTCGCACCAGGGTGTTTTGTCGCGCTGAAATGCATGCAAATCAAAATCCCATGTATTCCTATGGGGGCCGTTTACGCAAATGTGCTGAATCGCACGTAACAATACACCCATTGTTTAAAATAGTCCATGAGCTTCTTTTGTGTCGCTTATCAGCTCGTAATGCTCTAAGGCTAAGTGTTCACACCTGAGCGTTTTTTGTATGCTCGTTTTTCAGTTCAGTGAAACGCGCGTTTCACTGGCGGTATGATTTTTTTCTCTATTTAAAATTTTTCAAGTTTCACTTTTAAACTTCCCACCGGCTCCGCCCCCCTGCGACGCGGGCCACTCGCAAGGGACGGATCCCGGAAGCCGCCAAAGACACAGCGGGGATCGTGGACAAGCTAAGACCTGTACGCTGTATTCCCCGAGTGTGGCTCGGGGTGACCGATTTGTTAACCCCGATCCACACTCGGGAATACCAATGGTAACGCGCGACAAAACGTCCCAAAGAAGCTCCTGTACTTCTTTGGGCGTAGGCCGTTTTGCAGCGCGTTCCTACGCGCTGTAAAACGCCCAGGTGGGAACCATGCCCATAGGCAATCATTGGTTTTCACATGTTGAGCGTTTTACAGCGCGTAGTAACGCGCTGTAAAACATCCAGGTGTGGACCAGGCCTAAAGACTTCAATAGAAATGCACCGATCAGCGTGTTTTTGCGCTTTTTTTAGTGCATTTCTGCAGCTGAGACTGCTTTTCATTGGACAACTAATAACGAGCAGAAAACTAGCTATAAGGCTGGGTTCACACCTAGGCGTATCGAATATGCGCGTTTGTCGGAAAAAAACATGCGACAAACGCGCGTTTCCGAGGGCTACCTGGCTGAATCCCAATGTATACGCGCGGCAAATACGGCCCAAAGAAGCTCCTGTACTTCTTTGGGCGTAGAGCGTTTTGCAGCGCGTTCCTACGTGCTGTAAAACGCCCAGGAACCATGCCCATAGGCAACCATTGGTTTTCACATGTTAAGCGTTTTACAGAGCGTAGGAACGCGCTGTAAAACGCCCAAGTGTGAACCAGGCCTAAAATGGTCTTACATATGGACAGGAAACGCATGAAAAACGCGCTTTAAAAAAAAGCGCTAAAATGCTGTCGCCATGGTGTGAATGGGGATCAATAATCCCACTCCGGCCCTTCCAGATACAGTAATAACGTAGCAACACTTCAGCTTCTCCAGGTACGGACGTGAGTGACAGAAGGAACCAAGCAGTGCCCATAGCAGCGACACATCATGTACTAGTACTAGAGGGGTCGCGCTCTGCCCCGTAGTGTTTACACACAGACAAGCTCCGCCCACACATCACAGGGCACCAATCATACGCCGCAGATAAACAAACAACGCGCTTCCGATTCCGGTCACGAGGTATCACAGAACCGGGGGGCGGGGCTCTGGCTGACTGTGTTTGTGTTTTTTGTTTTTTTTTTTGATTACACGTTATCCTCTTCAGGCCGAGATTTCAATACTGTGCGGGACACCCGGCGCCCGCCACCCCTGACCGGCAGGTGAGTGATGTCACCGAACACCCGAGTGCGAGCTCCATAACAATGCCGGTGCTTGTTATCAGAGCTGGCTGCACTGCCTGTCACCGAGACTCCTGATGATGACTGACTGCCCTCTTGCTGAACTGTAGTATGGGTTGTTTCTGCATTGTTGGGGAGCCACACCATGCTGTGCCATTGCTTCAATATTGGAAGGACAGTCCTTCTTCTACATTCACACTGACACTTGTGTTACATAACACAGGAGAAATGATCTTGTAGGTATAAACAAACTTTAGACTTCCCAGTCACTTTCTCTTGTGTGTACAGGCACCTGTCTTTTGGTTGACTTCACTTTTTCTGTGCGTTCACCAGCGTTTCCCCGCTTGTCATACTTTACATTATCTAAACACAGGACACTAACCGTGTGTGTGTGTGTGTGTGTGTGTGTGTGTGTGTGTGCGCGCGCGTCCGCGCTAACTCTTTTATTTTCTAATGTGATCTTGGTTAATTCCATTTGTCTAGCAGTAACAGAGACTGAGAGAAATAATTTTACCGATCCAAAAGCTGCAAGCAATTTGCATAGAAATTTATTGTGACACTAAACTCAGGCGTTAATCTTAAAAATGCATTCAACTATCTTAAATATAAATAAAAATGTATCTTATTTGTGTATCACTCGGCTGTAGATCCTCAAATCATCTCTGAATTCATTCTGACGCTGTCCTTCCTTCTGCAGGGTGGCTACTTTTGTTCCCCATGGTCCGTGTGTGTGTTGTAAAGTAGTTACCACTCCAAGCTCACTCCTGTGATGGACTACAATCTCACGTTTAGTTTACTAATTTGTATTGAGATTGTAGTCCAGCCCAGTTTTCTATCAAAAGCTCCAACTCGTCGAGATCTCCAACTACCTCAATGCTAGTTACTTGTAAGTTGGAGATTTCTACCAGACGGCATTAGACTGCAAAACACAATGACTGACAGAGCTCTGTACAGCTGCATTTTAACAATATGCACCAGTTGGCAAACTCAACGAGTATTCTGAAAACGCTATGCGAGCATGCGCACCGCAACTGTACAGAGCTCCAGTCTTTCTGAGCACCAGAAGTGAGGTAGTTGGAGATTTTGATGAGTTGGGGCTTTCGATAGAACACTGGGAGTGAGCTTGGAGCGGTGGCTACTTTACAACACACACAGGGACCATGGGGAACAGAAGTGGTCACCCACCGGAAGGAAGAACAGTGTCGGCACCAATTCAGAGATGATTTGAGGATCTACAGCTGAATGATACAAAAATAAGATACATTTTTGTTAAGAGTTAAGGTACTTGAACGCATTTTTGAGGTTCACTCCTGAGTTTATTGTCACTTTAAGGCCTTGTTCACACCAAGCGCGTCTAATGTATTCCAATAGTATTTTTAGCTCCAGTTCACATTGCAGCATTCAGTTCCAGAGCAGGTACAAAAAACTGCAGCAGGCCCTATTTTACTTGCTCTGGAACGCGTGCAAACGCATCAAAAACGCCTGCAACGCACAAAGCCCATTTTAAACGGAAAAAAAATTATATATTTTTTATTTTACCAAAAACGGCCCGGAACGCATTACAAACGCGGCACAACCCACTGCACTGCGTGCACAGAAACTCATGCAGATCTGCTCTGCATTTGGTGTGAACAAGGCCTAAATATAATTGACCAAAGCAGTTTCTGCTTGCTGATAAAAACTGATCAAAGTCTTTCATTACCAAATACGCATTATATTCATAGTTCACACATGAGACTGATTTTACAGAGCATTCTGGGCTAAAGAGAAAGCCCAGCAATAACTGTTTACTTTGTCACTGCTTCAACCTAAAGAAAATTCCCGGCATTCACATCATAGACTATTCTCATCAAAGCAGTAAAATCAGCCTGGTTAAAAGGTGAGGGGGGGTTTCCTAGACTGCCATGCCTTTCTTAGATGTGGTAAACATAAAACATAGATATGCAGTATATTATATTTGCCTTAGTAAAGAAATGAAATGACACTTTAATGTTTTTAGCCCATATAATAATAAATACAGTACATAAAGGGTATACTTAACATTATACATATATTTAATTTCACATTATAAAAGAGAACATGACATTTCTCTTGGTAGCAGATATGCCTAGGGTTACATTTACATCTGTGGTGCATGGGAAGTAGCTAAGTTCAGCCTCGATACAAATACTGGTTGCTTCACATTTGCTGACACAGGACTAATGGCTTCATTGTGTAACACTGTGTATCTGAATGTGCTGACTGTATGCGATGCGTACTAACCAGCCTTTTTTTTTTTTTTTAATTGAGAAAAGTTTTAATCACAAACACCAAAATCTCATGTAATTAACCGCAAAGTTTTATATCCATTAGGAGTCTTTTTATTTGGTGTTCTTGTCGACATATTTGTCAGTCATTGGATGCGGGCGGGTCTGGCAGCGGCGAGCGTGAGGTGGGGAGGAGTTGTGGCGTGCAGCGTGTGTGGAGCCGTGAACAGGGCCAACTAACCAGAAGCCGATTAATCGATTATTGAAAAAGTTGACAACTTTTTCAATAATCGATTATGTCGATTAGTTGTTGCAGCCCTACTCCACATGTTTTGCAACATTTCGCTTAATATCTCAACTGCGCAGTAAATGCCTCCGGCATTTGTGACCGTCACATTTCACATATTCTAGAATCTTTTGAGCACTTCATAATGTATCGCAAAGATAATTCGGCTTCCTACCCTCTAGTCAGCTAAGCACTCCAGGGTTATTCTGCTGTCCTTCAGGAGGTTCCCTGCAACTTTATGACAACCCAGAGACAATTGCCCCACTTAATATGGCCGATGCTTGCCTGACTTTGGCGGCCATATTGAGTGCGGCAACTCAGATTAATAATGCCCTGGATTAGTCTGACCCTAGTTGATTATAATACTTTTATTGCTGTGTAGTATGTGTATAGGGAAATACTGCGGGTGGCGCATGCGCAGTACAGCTTACTCACCTAAACCTCTTACTGGCAAGCAAACCGGAAGTGACGTAGTTGGAGTTTTTGACAGAGCACGGGCACAAAACGGACACTAGCTTGCACGCTTATCGTTTTTGTGTGCGGCTAGTGTGACTGAGCCCTTAAACAGGATAAAGACTGCTGTTAACTGACCAACTTTTCAGAAAGAAACTGGGAGACAAGTTGGTAACTAGAACAAACAACAACTGACCAGTGCTTAAATAGAAATGAGGAGAAGTGACAACTGGCATATTAGAAGGAGAACTGATGGAGTTTAAAAATCAAACTTCAAACGTGAGGAAAATGTTCATATTTGTCTTTAAGGACCCATTCACTTGTCACAACCTACTCCTCCTTCAATTTCTCTCTGGCTTCAAAAGGTTAATGGACTTAAGGATATGGAGGACCTTACCTTGTCTCTACAGAATCGAGAAGAGCAGTTTCATCGCACCTGGTTTTACTGGCATGAATTCACTTTTTCCAGTGAATCTGAAACTTTGCTGGCCGACTGAACCCGTCAGTAGTTAGCAGCGGCCTTATTGGAGAAGGTGGCTTCCCCTCCCTATCCCTCTTCCCCTTCTTTTTTTCTTTTCTCATTTTTCTGTTTTTCCTTTTCTAGACTTTTGTTTTCCTTTTCAACGCTCCTTTTCTATTTCTTTCAATCTCATTTGCATCCTTCTCTTGTTGCAATTGCGCTATTTGAGTCGTGATTCCCCTTGGTTTACAAGCCACCAGTTGTCTCACTGCTGCTCTCTGGGGGACGCTGCTCCGTTTGTACTGGATCCCATATATTTAGAGAGAAAGTCTGCTCCAGTTTTATATTCTTGTTTTCTTGTACTGGTATCTCTGTACTGTTTGTATTTCTTGAGAATTTATATATAAAGAATTTAAAAAAAAAAGAAAGCTGTTGCATGGCTTTCATGTTTCTTTACACATGTCCCCGTATTGAGTATAAAGTATTAACGATAAAAGGCAATAATAAGTAACATTTATTCTAGTAAGCTTGTGTCTGCTACTTCTATGCAGGATTACAGAAAAATTGTGTTGTTTTTCACTTGTACCAGTAAGTCTAGCAGCAGCTTTACTTTATCTGTACCTATATTTTAATACCTAATAGGAATGCAGGTTACACCTATATTGACTCACCTGAACCATGTGTTTAATGTTATCACCTGATTAGTGACTATGCAGAATACAAGGTTGTGTGCAGTGTTGGTGGTGCAAGCAAAATGTAGCATAGAGCAATATAAAAAAAGTTTTCTTCATAAAGTGTATGTATAGCCAAAATAGTTTTTGTTGTAGAGTATGGAAGTGTTCAAATGCCTATCAGGTAATTGTTTGCTGTCTGTGTCCTGCTAGGAAGAGTTCCCTTCACGTCCTGTCTTTATGACCCAACAGGAGGTGACAGGAGATCTTCCCAAATGAGAGAAATTCCTATTTTAGACAGTTGCCACTGGAATTTTTGTCCCTGTTGGAAGATTTTCCCTCAACTCTTGCTCTCATGACAGCTCTAAAATGTAGGATTTCCCCTTCTTTCTGTCTGTGATAATGGTCATCTGGACAAATAGGGGGTGAATCTCCCCAGCTTAAAGGAGAACTATGAGGGGAGTGCTTTTCACTCACCTCATAGTTCTAGCCGACCCGTGACAATGAGACTGTCACAGGTCCGCTCAGTAGATCGGGAGGTGAGCGAACACATACCGGCGTTCGCTCACCTCTCGATCCTGTCGCAGCTCTCTGCTGTGACAGGGGAGGGGCGTCACTCACGCGGCTAGGCGTAACCAGACATAATTGTCGGGATCCGCTTCACCTGCGGCGTCTCAGTATACCGCTCGCGGTATACTGTGGCGTCTCAGTATACTGAGAACTGTAGCTCGCGGTATACTGAGCTTAGGGTGACGGGAGGACGCTAGTTTGTGTCCTCCAGTTACCCTAAGGAGAACTATGGTGAAAAGCCTTAACCCCATAGTTCTCCTTTTTATAAAAAAAAAATGCCTTTAGATACTCCTTTTTAAAGTGGAAGTATTGGGAAAGTAAAATATACTCTACCCAATACTTAGAGCCCCTGTGGGGTCTTTAGATCAAGAGCTTGTCAATCATGTAACCACTCATCGCTCAGCTCACGGTCTTACCCCTGCAGAGATCACTGTCAGTCACCGTTCCCGCAGGGATTTGCTCTCTGTTCCTCTAGCCCTCCTTAGAGGGGCAGACAGTGGAGGCTGTGGGTGCAGATGGCTCTTGCTCTAGAGCCAGCTGTCAATCAGGCAGCCTGCTGGATCCTGACAATCTTGTTGAGGTCCCTCTCAGCTGCAGCGTAGCTCTGGCTGTCAGCATATAGTGGGCAGTTTTCTGCTATATGCTGACTTTGAGTCACAGAAGTACATTAGTAAATGTCCTCATGTGACTCAAGAAAAACAATTAAAAAAAAAAAAAAAGGTTTGGTTTTGGCACTGTGTAATGAAGAACGGGCTTCTCTGCCACTCTGGACAATATCAGCTCAGGAAATGATTTATTGTGATATGGCATTCCTCTGTTTTCTTTACATGTGACAAAGAAAACATAGTTCTTAACCTTTACACAGACATGTCTATAAGTATTAGTCTGATGCCAGCATTGGCAGGTGCCCTCTATCTCAACTGCAATATTAAAGACCCACTCTGTGAGTAGGGCTGTTGCGTCGAGTATTGGGAGTAACCTCATTTGCATTGGTAGTTGGGTGCCTTTAAAATCCTACTCTGTGCTGTGGAAAGTGTAAATGCTGCAGGACTGAGAGCTGACGTCCTCTGCTGGGTGGAGTGTTGCTCTTCCCACTGCTGCTTCTGCTTGCAAAAGCCACGTGGAGCTCGGATTCCTGCGGCAGGAATCCCAAATCTCCCATTTAGATGTGTTGTCATTTTGGAGCCACTGATTGCATTCTTGACATTTTAAATCAATTTATATTTATTTTCAAAACAGATGCTGAACAAAGACAATGGGGTCCACAGTATCTACCTATACCAGTCGTGTGACATCCTTGAAGCAGGCTAGCAATCCAAATGTGGAAGAGGATGATTTGTTGGATGGAAGAGACATAGAGGAAGATATTGCACAATTTCCTTATGTTGAGTTTACTGGACGGGACAGCATTACCTGCCCTTCCTGCCAGGGAACTGGATGCATTCCAACAGGTAAAGTTCATTGCAGTTCCTGCTTTCAGTCTTAGTTTACCATTAAGAGTCTGCTAATGGGAAAACAAAGATAAGTGAATATGCCATTTGATTTTAATCTTTTGTTAGACTTCAAGACTAAGCCCCTCCAATTGCCAGTTCCCTCTCCAATGTGTATGCTTCAGTGTATGCTTCAGTGTATGCTTCAGTGTCTAGTACTTTAACTGGACCAGGAATTAGCAGTTGGCAGGGCTTAGCCCTGAAGTCAAAGAAAGTCAGGCCCCTGGTATCTAATTATCAAAGAGGCAGGGAGAGGTGAGTTTTCTGGTAAACAATAGTAATAGCAAGCAAGCATCTTGTAGTGTCTGCTCTTAGGCACATATTTTGCTCTAAAACATTTCGCCTTTTGACTGTCAAGTCCCTGCAATCAAAAGGTTAAAACACTGTCGCAGCTGCTTACCTGGTTCTGCTGTGTAATGCGGAAATTATCTACGCAGCCTTAAGGTGCCCATACACTGTGCGATTATCGCACGATAATCGCGGGAAATCCCGCAATCGTACGATAATCGCAAAGTGTATGGAAGGCGTGCGACCGTTTTTACTGTACGGTCGCACGTCTTTTGTCTTAAGGAGCATGCTAGAAAAGCAGCCGAGAATCGTACGATTTTCAGCTGGTTTTTAGCATGATCGTAAGATCAATGCCGCACGAGCCGGTGTGCGCACACGCACACTGCCCGTTCAGCGATGATCGCAAGTACGATCTGCCTGTCCAAGATGGGCAGATCGAACGTTTTTTTAATTACTTTACAACCATCGCAAGACTTAAGGTCTTGCGATGGTTGTAAAGTGTATGGCCACCTTTAAAGTCACCCAATGACTTCTACATTCTGCTCCTGCATCTCACCTGTAAAGCTTTAAGCACTTCTGGGTTCACAGCTGCAGTCCAAGCACTGCATCATGAGAGGTGAAATGCTTGCCTATACCCAGAAGTGCCAGGTATTTTGTGTCAGCTGCAATGGAGGAATCCGTGTCAGGGGATCAGTGAACAGGTGAGTGCCAGTGGGACAGGGGCCGGATTTACAGAGACACTGCCACTTTGCCCTGCATGGGCAGAATGCTTGGTGTGAAGTAAAAGAAACAGGCAAATGTAAAGGAAAAAAGACAAAAAGTGTGTTCATTCTGAAACCCTTTGATCATCTTCCTCATAAACAATTGCTATGGTTTTTTTTTTTCCATAAAATATCGTTTTTACTTTTTTTGCATCTCGGTGCTACCAATCTACTCTCGCCTTTTTAGCCACTTCCTGACATGCAGAAACTCCAGAGCCCGCCAGGAAGCTGACAGCGCCAATCACAGGTACTGAGACATTATCCCAGTCTGCAGCTGCGGACCGAGATAATGTCTCAGTGCCTGTGATTGCCTGTGCCTGTGATCAGCTTCCTGGCGGGCTTGGCACGTGGAGCTGCGAACACGTCCAAGCCCATCACTAAAGAGGATATAAAGGTGGCCATACACTTTACAACCATCGCAAGACCTTAGTCTTGCGATGGTTGTAAAGTAATTTAAAAAATGTACGATCTGCCCATCTTGGACAGGCAAATCGTACTTGCGATCATCGCAAGCCCGCCTCTCTGAGGGGCGGACTTCTGATGACCGCAATGCTGAACGGGCAGTGTGCCCGTGCGCACACCGGCCCGTTCGGCATTTGTCTCCCGAGCACCATTCAAACCAGCCAAAAATCGTAAGATTTTCGGCTGGTTTTCTAGCGTGCTCCTTAGACAAAAGACGCGCGACCGTACAGTAGAAACGGTCGCACGTCTTCATTCACACTGCACGATTCTCGTACGATCGCTGGATTTCCCGCGATTCTCGTACGAGAATTGTGCAGTGTATGGGCACCTTAAAACTCTTCCTGCTTGGCTGAAGTTAACTATGTTAAAGCCAGTGGGTTAATTGGTTGTTGTAGCAGGTGGATCAAGAGTACCTAGTCACAATGAGCCTCATGTATGGACTGCAATAGATAAACTCCATCTCATCTTGGTAGCTTTTAGCATTCATTTTGTCACATCTAAGATGAATTATGTGTATATTTGTTTTGTTACAGAGCAAGTGAACGAGTTGGTAGCGTTAATACCATACAGTGACCAGAGACTGCAGCCCCAGAGAACGTAAGTGTCCTCTTGCTATGAAAACATTAGAATGAAATAAAAAAATATCCTACAAGCTAAAAACAGTCCTCTCTTCAGAAAGCCTAAAGGACTTAGGAATACCCGAATGTGGTAGTCAATCATTTAGTTTATAAGTAAGCAGCAAAGGAAATGACAGGAATCTAATAAACACTCCAGTATGTGTACTGTCAGTTTTTTTTTTAAATTCTTTATTTTTTTATTTTGAGCAAACAATTTACAGTAAACATATAACACACATACATTTGATTAAAGGTGCCGTACAGGTATAAACATAGGAAGCATGTCTATTTCTTCTAGCCCTAGTCGCTTAATTAGTCAAAGATCAAGCGGGAGCAGCATAATATCATATGCAGTATCTGGGCGTTTGGGGTGATTGAAATGCATATCTGGCATGTCTTAGTGTGTAATAGGCAATAGTTTTCGATAGGCAATGGTGTGTGAACCAAGGGGTCCACCTGTTTGCTTCCAGGGATTGAGGGGAGGGGAGGACATCAGACAACAGCATGACAGAAGAGGGAAAGTGAAAATGCTGTGTCCGGAGCTATAGGTGTCTGCTCCCTCACACGGCCATTGCCAAGCCACGCCCCCTTCGTACTGTCAGTTTTATAGCAAACCTATATTATAACCTGCTTCTAGTTTTCCAAATCAAAGCACTGGTCACTTTGAGAAAATTAATGTAGAGTCATTGCCAACTGCTAATCGCTGAGATTAGTATAAGATCATCTTTATTCTTGTCACCACGGGCTGTGTTTTTGGTCAGTCTTGCTTGGAGGAGACAGCACAAGACGGAGAGGTCTGCAGCAGCAGAGTAATCCTAAATTGACTGCCATAGCAGACACTGGATTTGCCCCATGGCATATATTCACAGTACACAATATTACCATAGATATGAAAGACATATTAGGCAGAATCTATTGAGGCCAGTGGTTTAATTATCTTTAAATATCATTGTACTTGCAGACAATGCTGTTTTTTAAGTAAGGACACTTGCTCAACTACACTTAGTTCCACACTGTAGACTGGAAAACAGTCCGGCATGTTAGTCAAAGCAGAGATATTGGACATTATCTCCTGAGCTGTAATGTATAAAATGTATCTTAGTGTTGGTTCATAATGCTGCTGGTCATACCTGATTGGCACTTTACCACAGCACAATAGTTAGGGGTACAGGATCCCCTGCAGTCACTTCTTCTTTTTTTTTTTTTTGTAGAAGCTATGATAGAGAGCCAATATCATGGGGAACTCCAGGCATGTCTTCACTCTCCAGTATCCATGTCACAATTGAGGTCCCCATACACACACTACACTAAAGTCTATTCTATGCCAGATATGTTTAGGGCTCTATTTTTATTGCTTAACCTCATCTAGTGTTCTGGCATTGATGACTTTATGGCATTTAATGACTTCTGTAGTCATTTGCAGGCAATCAGCATATACAGTAAGGCAGATATTAACTGTAATGTAAACATTGCTAACAGGATAAATTGAATTTTATTGTATCCATGCCAGTGAAATGTGAATCCTGGCTGCTAAAGGTTACAGCATTTTGATCTATACCTTGTAAAATCCTATATGTTTGATGACTGGCTAGCTGTCATAGGCAGATCTTGTGATTATCTCTGTCTTGTAGTAACAGTCAACAAGTGAGCAGATAAGTTTAACTTCTAACCATGCTATTGTATAAGTGCAGCATGGATGTAATTACAATCTCTAAAAACCAGTATCAAACACAGCTTGTGTTTTTCATGTATACTTTTTTTCAACAGAAAACTGTACGTGGTGCTGTCGGTTCTGATGTGCCTCTTAATATGTGGTCTGGTGGTGTTCTTTCTGTTTCCACGTACTGTGGTGGTGGAGGATGGCGGCATTCGAATGGTACAAGTGTGGTTTGATAAGGAAAATGATATTGTCAACCTAGCGATGACGGTATTTATCCTTTTTTCTTTTTTTATCATAATAACCAGAAATGCAGCCTTACAAAATGTATAATAATATAACTTTTTTGCAACCCTTAACACCAGAACATATTTTGTTTTATCTCACTTAGTGCAAGTTATACCCAATGAAAAATTCCATTCATATTTCAGCACTAAACATCTTTTAGTTGGTTATGCTGCTGCCATCATTTTTTTTTTTTTTTGCAAGAGAAATTCAAACCTGTTATTAGTGTGAAAGGGTCCTCTGGTAGGTTTTTATTTTTTGTCCTTGGAAGACTCACCCTTGTATGTGCTCTGGTGGCATAGGATATCCATAATTTGTCACTGGAACAAGTTGAGGCGAAAACCTCCAGTTGGGGACACTTGTTCTGGTGATAACTGTCTATGAGGGGATTTCCCCTCACTTTGGGGAGATCTTATCTCACTTGCTGTTATGTCTCTGGGACAGGAAATCTCCCAAATAGGACAAAGAGAAAAAAAAAGAGATGGTTTAACCCTTCCTTACTCCGTCAAAACAAAAACGTTTCATCCCTACAGTAGATACACTTTAATATATAAAGGTTGGTAGAAACAGCGTGATTGCTTGACTTTTGACTACCCAGTGCGAACATTAAGGCTCCATTCACACCTAGGCGTCAGCGTTTATGCGCATATTGGCGCAAATTTTGCTTAGCGTAGCATGTAGGGTGTTTAGCATAGTTTTGTGCATATACAAAGACATGTATTTTATTGACCAGATTGAAATGCATTGGGGTGAATGAGCAAACATGTGCACAAACACGTAAAAACACAAGCAGAAATGTGCAAACCCCTTATGTCGTGCGTTTTCATGCACTTCCGTTGAAGTCCATGCAGCCAAACGTGCTAATCTGTCCGAAAAAAGCTCATGTACCTTTTTTCAGCGTTCGCCGCGTTACAGCTTGCGACAAAACTCTAAGGTGTAAACAGGGGCCATAGAAATGAATGGGATTTCTTGTGTTGAGAGTTTTGTTTCCGCTTAGCTTTGAGCGTCAAAAACACCCAGGTGTGAACAGGGACTTGGGGCTAACAATTGTTTTCCAGCATGTTTGAAAATCTCTACGCAGCATGGCCAATCCTTCTCTTCTAGAGGGGAGGAAGTGCTAGGCAATACAAGCACTACTTCCTTGCCTGCTGAGTCACCTCATATGTAGTAAAACTTGCCACACTTCGAAAACAGTTTTTTTTTGGCATATTCCGGTTAAATTACAATTGGGAAAAAAAAAACAACATATTGTTAATATAATATTCACTATTAATGCTGACTGTGGATGTTTTATTATGCTTTACATGTGAATAATTGCGCAGTGGCTTCCTTTTTATTTATATGCTTTTACTTTCTGTATTACAGAGCACCCTGGAATTCACCAATTCCAACTTTTATTCAATCTCTGTGGACAGCCTGATTAGCCAAGTGCAGTACATGAACACAGTTATTGGAACTCAGCAGCAGACTAATGTGTCTGTCATTCAGCCGCTCAGCCAGAAATTGGTAGATTTCCTGATTGTATTTTTTTGCTTTGTGTTACATACTGTATGCCTTGCAGTTCTACCTCTGCTTGCAGTCTGTTCGATTTTAGTGCTAAATTGAAGTTGCATGTTTTGGTTCTGCACATCCAATCTTCTGTTTTCAGTTAGGAAGATACTGTGAAAAAAGTGCAATATTTTATCCTCCAGTGACTGCCCTGATATTCTGTTTAATTCTACATTGCAAGTAATTATGCAAAGCAAACAGTATGCAAAATCAGTTCTATTAATCATATTGTGTATCTCTCAGGTGAATTTTACAGTGAAGCTGGAGTTGGGTGGTATCCTTTCTTATTTATAGTAAGTATTATATCTTAGCCTTTATACCAGATTTTTATATTGTTATCCCTCTTTGCCAGGAGTAGACAGTAGTAGTTTATCTGAGTAAAGAACACAGTGTTCTCTATACATCACAAAACAGCAGGAGATGAAGACTGTTGCACTAAATCATTTGCTGTATTTTGGCTCTGGGCTGAGTTGTGCAGTCCGCTTTATCTGCTCGATTTAGTTTTGTTCCCTACAAGAAATGAAGATGAACATAAATAAATTTGTGGATCACATAGAGTGCATATATTCAGAAACCAATTCCTGTTGGAAGTCATCTAGTTACCTAGTAGTGATTTCACAGACTCTTCTGCCAAAAATGTACTGAAGTAGTTTGGTAGCTCCCTTCTCTTTAAAAAAAAATACTAAATCAGCTGTCATGCTGGTCCATTGGCTTCCATTCTGAGACCTGACTAGAGATGAAGTTTGGGTTGAACTCAAATTGTTAATTTTAAATCTGCGCTTAATGGATATTCTAAATGTGTTAAATCAAATTAGAAGCTGCTGCACTATAGACAACTAGGTCCAATGGGTTGTTTAATATACAGCGCTAGTATACACAGATTGAACTACTAGTGCTGTATATCCAATTGAACCCAACTTGGTTTGGGTCACCCAAGTCTGTTTGTGATTTGGAGACTTGCCAAATTCCCAGCTGCTGTTCAAAAACAAAACCAGTTGGGGATCCTGAGCAACGTCCTTGACCCAAATATACTCCGGATATGTTCCCAAGAGATTTACCTGTCTGGGGCAAGAGATTTAAAATATTTAAACCAGAAATATCCAGTTATTTATCAGAAGGATTTACCTGGAACTAAAAACAGGAATATCAGAAGCTCCTAATCTGTATATTTTGTTGTAGGTCAGGAATAGGGACGAGCAAACCAAGCAAAGTTTGGTTTGCCCAAGGTTCGGTGAACCCAGTAGGAAGTTCCCCAATATAAGGCAGAACCACACTGGGATCTAAGGGAGGCAATTTTTTTTGTTTTAATTCGATTAAGCGAAACAGAAGAGGGAACACAACATTTACAGATATCACTTTGTACAGTAAATGCGTACAATTTCAAGAGGTAATGCTAACTGCAATCGGCTACATATATTATACAGCAATGGAAAATGTACAGTAGACAAGGGAGGCAAATAATTTCTGGCCTTTTTCAAGGCTAATTTGCAAGCTATTGTTAAAAAAAAAAAAGAAAAAAAAACCACACAAGGTTTGCGTCTTCCAACAGGTTTTAACAAACCTCAAGCATACTTTTAAAATTGTAAGCATGTGCTGTAGAAAGTGATATCTGTAGCTGTCGTGTTCCCTCACATTTCTCTCTTCGTAAATATTCGTATACTTTGTTATAAAACAAAATAAAAATGGCATTCTGCCCTATGTTTGGGGTTGGCAGACTTCCTGCTGGGTTTCTGGAACCTCGGGCAATTAGAACTTTGCTCGGCTTGTTCATCTCTAGTCCTGACCTACAACAAATATGCAGATTAGAAGCATCTGATGTTCCTGGTCTGTCTCTTATTTCCAGATCAGTGTTTCAGAGGAATTCCTGGATGATTCTGCCTTCAGTATAATTTCTATTTCCTACCTTCCTTAGATACATCTCTTGGGGGCATTTCAGTGGACGTTTTTGTATACCTTACCCCTTTAATGCAATAAAGTGATATGTAATGATTTGAAATGGTATTCTAAGGTCTGGTATTCACAGACTGCAATCATCAGCATGAGTGTGACATGCCCTT